GTAAAGTTGTTTAGCAGGTTCGAAAATATGTGTATATAAAATTTTATTATTATTGGATTAATAGTTTTAAAGTTATAAATATTTTTTGTGATTATATTATCTCACAAAATTTTTTTTATTTGTTTAGTAACTTCAAAGAGCAATTTAAGCATTTTTGTCAATTGAAGTTGACTTTGTTCGCATAATTAAAGTTATTCAGCAGATTTCAAAATATGTGAATGCAAATTTTTATTATAATTTGATTAATTATTGTAAAGTTATACAAGTTTTTCATAATTATATTATCTCACAAAATATTTTTTTTTTATTTTTTATCTGTACAGTGACTTCAAAGAGCAATTGAAGTATTTTTGTCAAAGAAAATCAATTTAGTCATATAAGTAATATTATTTAGTGGATTCAAAAATATGTGTTTATAAAATTTTATTATAATCAGATTAATGGTTATAAAGTTATGCATGTTTTTCATAATTATATTAGCAGTTACCTGATTTGCAGATTTATCACAAATTGTAATTTAAATTTCACAGTTAAAATATTATTATATTAGTAATATTTTTTTGAAAAATAATAAAATATAAACATGTATCAATAATTTTTTATATTTTTTTAAAAAAATATTAAATAAAATTAATAATTGTTTATAGTTTCTTATTATTTTATATTTGAATATAAATATTGTTAAATTAGTAAAACTTAAAAAATTCCTTTTTTAGACAAGTTAGGTCAGGTCAGGTCAGATCAAATTTATATTTAATTAAGGTCAATATTATGTCAGGACCCTGAACTATACTAATATAACTCACATTTGAGTTTGCGTAAAGTTTATATGTAAACTTTGCCAAAAGTTGCTTATTTTTACAAATTTACTTATTCTACATACCCCATTATCTCAATAACCAGTAATTCAATTTTAATGCAATATTTACTATTGGATTCGTCTAACAGAGCGGAATCTAATGATAGTAATATCATCTTTCTAGCATTAATATTGACCGAGTTACATCATACAATATACTTTTAATTGTGTGTTCGTATTACATTTGTGAATTCTATTAGTATAGTTTGGGGTCCTATTATGTCTAACCCAATTTGATCTTATCAGGTTGAGTCAAGTCAATTATCCGACCTGACCTGATTTGTTTAGAGCTCTAATATTTTCATAATAAAAATATAAGGGTTTTAGATAAAACTACAAATAAATTAAATAAATCTGAAAAATTTTTAGTTTAGTTTAGTTTTTTTCAATTCAGATTGTAATAAATCAATCTGAAAAATTTCAGATCAATTCAGATTTTTTTCAGATTATAATTTAATCTGAATTGAAAAAAATTCAAACTAAATGAATTTAATTTAAATATTCAGATTAATCTAAACTTTCAATTAATAATAAATTCCTCATAATTTTGATATATCTTTTATTAGGAAAATAACATAAAAGTTGCATTTGAATTATTAGAAGCGACTTTTATTAAAAAATTCCAATAAAAGTCAAGTCTAAATTGTCAAAAGTAATTTTTATTAAAAAAAAAATATCAATAAAACTACCTCTGATAGTTAGAATATGATATTTATTATAAAAAATAGTTATACTAAACTGTTAATACTAGAAATAATAATAATAACAGTTGCATTCAAACTGTCAAAAGTGAATTTTATAATAAAATTAATAATACAAGTTACATTTAAATTATAAAAGGCAATTTGTATTATAAAAATAATAATAAAAGTTATATCTAAATTATCAAAAATAACATTTATTATCACATCTGAAATTTAGAAATAACTTTTATTAGTATTTTCTAATAAAGTCACATTTAATAATTTAATAATATAAAGATAACTTTATTTTTATTTATTATAATAAAGTTATCTGATAATTCAAATGTAATTTTTTATTATTTTTTATAATAAAAGCTTCTGATAGTTTAAATATGACTTTTCTAATAAAATTATATTCAAACTGTCAAAAACAATTTTTATTATTGTATCTGACTTTTAGAAGCAAATTTTATTGGTATTTTCTAATAAATTCACTTCTGATAGTTTAAATGTGACTTTTATTATTAATTTTTTATAATAAAAGTTAACTAACAATTTAAATGTAACTATATTATTTTTTTTTTAATAAAATTACCTCTAATACTTTAGGTATAACTTTTTCTTTGAAGGTAATTTTTATTAGTAATTTCTAATAAAAGTTTTATCTATCAATTTTAAGATAACTATTATACTTAATAATTTGGATGTAACTTTATTATCATATTTTATAATAAAAATCATCTGATAGTTTAAATATGATTTTAATATCATTTTTTTCTAATAAAGTTACCTCTAATACTTCTTTTATCCCTATATACTTTAATAATAATAGTAGTTTTTTTTAAATGTAATAATATTAATAATAATTTAGGACTATTTTTTTTTACATAAATAACATTAATAATAATTTGTTTTTTTTAAAGGTGATATTTTTCTATTTTTACGTAATAAATATAATGATATAATAAAATTTGTCATAGAAATACAAATTTATTAAATAATACTTTTGCAATAGTATTAAAATTATGTTAAAAATTTTATATTATTTTTTATAATTTTTAACCAATTTGTAATGAATTTTTGTTGAACTTGTTTTGAAATTTCTATGTTGTTTTTTTTTATAATAATTTATATTTATCACCTAGGTAATGAATTATTATTATTTCTAATTATATGATTAATAATATTAAAATTTCACTTAAATTATATTTGTATTGATCTAATTTTATAAATAATACAACAGTTAAATTGTTTTTAGAATCCAAATCAGAATTTTGAACACAAAGAATTTAAGTATTTTGATTGTGAATTATTCAAGTTTTTTAAGATATCAAATCAGAATTTCAATTCAATAATAAAGAGATTTTTCATAAAACATCAAATTAGAATTTTGATTTAATAATAAAGAAATTTATATTACCATTATTTAATTTTTCACTTTTGAAAATTATAACATACTTTCAATTATTTTATTAATTCAAATCATTTCAAATTTTTTAACTTTTTATATAAAAAATGACTATATTGAAAATTATCTAAGATAAAGATAATTCTTATAATTATTTTCAAATTTCAATTGAATTACATCATAAGAAAATTTAATTATGTCATAAGTTGCAACTCAATTGTGTTATTTTTTTAATTATAATGCTTATCTTTCTTATCTTTAATCTAGAAGGATGTGAAGACTAATTACTTAGTTAGAGAGAAGGTGATACAACAATAAGTATTATTATTTTATTTGTGAATATAAATATTGGAATTTTAGTAGAATATCATGAGAAGAATAAATTGACACTATAATGATGATTATTCTGCTTACCAATATGAGCAGAAGTAGATAAATCTGATAATAGGCAAATAAATAAATAAATAATAATATGTTGATAAATATAACTTAATAGTATAAATAATTAAGATGTATCTTTTAGAACTTTTATAATTGGCATAATGGTATGAGAAAAGAAAAAGGTGATTATATAATAAGAAAGATTTTATAAGCTTTTCTGAACTAAGTTTGAAATAGGCCAGATAATTATTAAAAATGTTTTAATTAATGATTTTATATAAAAATTTATATTAAATATTTTTATATTTTTTAGTTATAAGGTATCATTGAATAAGAGTTTGTAATGTGATAATGTGAACTAGTAATTAGGTGTGAAGATTTAATTTTTTTTATTTTTTATTTTTTATTTTTATTGAGAAAGGAAGGGAAGGAAAAAGAAAGAGAAGTTTTTTAATTTTTTTAATTTTTTTTTTTATTTTTAATTTTTAATATTTATTCATATAAATAAATAATATCATATTAAATAATTAATTTTAGACTATTGTAATAGATTTTTTTACCTTTTTTTTTTATTTATTAAAAAGTTTTCAGTTTTGTATTAAAACAAAACCACTCTTTTTTATTTTCAATTATAATAAATAATAAAAACTTTTAAAATTAAATTTATATTTATCATTATAAATTGTTTCATCTGAAATTAATTCCAATTTTTACATTATCCAAATTGCTTCAAGATTACTTTAACTTTAATCACTGAGAGGTTATTCTATAAAATAACATCATAAAATTAACTTTAATTATATTATAATAAAATTATATTTGTATTTTTTTATTTCAGTAATCATCTATTATATTGAATAATTTGTTGAATTTTCTTATAATGAAGATCTGATCAGCCCAGATATCAACTTCATTATATGGGAGTTTTACAATAGAAAAGGAGGAAACTCAAAAAAAATTAAAATTTTACTTTATAAGCTAATTATGATTTTTTTAGTAAATAAGTTCAGGTTTAACATTAACTCAAAAAAAAATATTTTTTAGAGTTTTCTCCCTTTCTATTGCAAAGCTCCATATTGAAATATGATTGTAGTATTTACAAAACATTTAAATAAATTAAAAATTAAATTTTTTTTAAAACTTAAGAAATTATTTTTAACTTTTTTAAGTAAAAAAATACAAAATAATAATTTTTATTAAAAAAAATATATATATATTTTTACTAATAATCAATATAAATATTTTATTAATATATTAAATAGCTTTTTATATTACTTAATTAAATGATATTTAAATTTTTAATAATATAATATATAAAAACCTTAATAAATTTAATTACTATAAGAAAATTTATAAAACTTTATGTTTTCTGATAATATTTTTTTATGTAACTAAATAATAATTTAATTTTAAAACTTAATTTATTCTTGGAGTAAATATCAGGATTTTATTACTTCAAATTTTTTAAAAAATATTATAAAATACAGCAATTTTTTTCTACCAAAATTTTATTTTTTAAGGAATATCTTATGGAAAGCAGTTCTAGAAGACTTCCATTAATAAAGATTTGGGAAATCTTATAAAGCATTTTCAATGCGATTGGTTGATAATTTGTGTAAAAGGGAATATAAATTGCTTCCTGTAATCGAAATTACTTTCTTGTAATAAAATGTTGAAACATGTTACTCGAGCTTTACGTGCACTATTTTATGGCTCAGCCTTATTTAGGTTTGTAATTTTCTACACAAAAAAAAAAATCATTACGTGAAATTAGGCAGATCTAAATAGATCTTTGGGAATTATAATTTTGTAGTTTCGCTATTAGTATTAACATTGTTCAAATATGTTCAATGTTATTGATACCATTTTCAAGAAGACTAGTATGGAAGATCAATTCTCGAGGCGCTCAAAGCATGTGGTGGGTCATGCAAGTATGAAAATAATTTTTTTTTTAAAGCTTTCCCAGTTTACTGCACATCCAAAACTGAAATTTATCTTACACCTATTGGATATTTTTATTGTTGTAGTATATATTTGAGAAGAGACATAAAGGAAGTATTACATTTTCAGGTGATAAAATTCCGTCAAACGAAAGTGCTATAGTGATAAGTAATCATAGAAGCTTTACGGATTTTTACATGTTACACTCACTTGCCATTCGTAGAAACATGTTGCCTCATGTTAAATATTTTGCTAAAGATTCTTTGAAATATGTACGTATAAATTTCTAGTTATACTGTTAAATCAAAAGCGATAAAATCAAATGAATAATTGAAATTATCCTTTTCAGATTCCTTTTTTTGGTTTTGGTATGTGGGTAAGTTATTATTTTTAAGAAATATACAATTGGTTTGCAATTTATTTTAATTTATTAAAATTTTGAATTTACATAATTAGCTCATGGGAATGATTTTCATTAAACGAAATTGGACTCAGGTAATTTTTCTTCTTATGTTGATAGTGCTGACCATTTCAAACGTATAATGATAGTTCAAGGCTCAACATGTTAGCGACCAAATACTATACATATAATATACATATATTTCAATCAATAATAACCTCATGAACTTTTAACAAATAATTTTTTTTTAACTATGTTAATATTTTAGGACGAAGGACAATTAAAGAAAATATTTAGAGCTATTAAAAAATATGCTGCACCTATTTGGGTAGTTAATTTCTTGGAAGGAACTAGATTGACTCAAAAGAAATTACAAGAGGTAAATAACAAAAGGTTTTTATTAGATTTAGAAGAAATACCATTAAATTTCTTCTCTTATTTGTTTTTTAGAGCCAAGCATTTGCTAAGGAACGTGGATTACCTATTTTACAAAATCTCTTGTTACCAAGAACTAAAGGTTTTGTTGCATGTGTACGTCAACTAAGGAATACTCATGTGAAATACGTTTATGGTAACAGCCTTTTAAATCTGACTTCCAATTAAATATCATCTTTTTTCATTTTTCAAAGTACCTTTTAATTAAAATTCATCTTTCTCTTGTGATAAAGACTTCACGATTGCATATCAACATATTCGACAAGGATTGCAGTATCCACCAAATTTAGTGCAAATACATGCATTACCGCTTATTACACCTCCTTGGTCATTTCACGTACATGTAAAAAGATATGCTATTGAAGATTTGCCTAGTGATGAGAAAAATTTGATAGAATGGATTAAAAATGTTTTTGTTGAAAAAGATGCTATTTTAGAAGATATGAAAGTAAAATGGACCAAAAGTGAAAAGTTAGGTCCAATTCGTTCTGAAAAATATTTTAATTAACCTAAGGGATAAATGTTTTTTTTTATAGAAAAGTTTATTTTAGAAAAGTTTAATATTGTTAGAATTCTAAATTAAATATAGAAATTTTTTAACTAATTGTAAATTAAAGACTTAATAAATAAGGAAATTTTAATATCAGTCGATTATGTCATCTCTATGATTGATCGGTGCTAATTTGATCAACAATTTATTTCTATTTTTATTTTTTTTTTTAAAAAAAAAAATTTTTATCAAATCAAATGTTTCTTTAAAAGATTTCTTTTTCTAAGTGTTTTTTTGTATATATTAACATGAATTGTTCTAAATTTAATGTTTTTTATATTTTAAGGTCAGACCAAAAATGTTGTATCTACATTATGGGCAAAATCCCATATAATTATTTTTTGGTCCTGAGAACAGCTTACAATTTTAGTGGAATTGAATTGAATTTTGAAAACTCTTTTAGAAAAAAATATATTAAGGAATGGTTTGTTAATAAGGTTAACAAATATTTCAATATGAAATTTTAAAATATTTACCTGCTAGTATGACCATGAATTAAATTAGACAGTAATTCTCCTGTTTTAAGATCCCAAACTTTAAGGGTTTCGTCATAACTTCCACTAACAATTTTATTTTTATCAAACTGTAAAGTTCTTACAAGATCAGTATGTCCAACAAGAGTGGATGAGCAAGCTCCTGTATTAACATCAAAAACTTTTATAGTTTTATCACTTGATCCAGAAACAATAATATTTCCGTCAAATTGAATACAAGCAATTCCACGCGAATGACCATCAAAAGTACGAAGACATTGTCCAGATGAAAGAGACCATAATTTAATCGTACGGTCTCCCGATGCTGAAACTACATATCCATCTTTAAATTGTACAGCATTAACTGCTGCACGATGTCCACATAACACTCGAAGACACGTTCCTATTTCACGATCCCAGATTCGTACCGTACGGTCTTTTGAACAACTTATAATAAGATTATCATCAAATCGTAAATTCAAAACGCTTTCACTATGACCCTCCAACGTATGTTTAATTTCTCCTGTAACTAAATCCCAAACAATAATAGTTGCATCGCTGCTTCCACTAACAATTACTTTATCATCATATTGTAAACATAAAACAGATTGTTTATGTCCATGAAATGTTTTAACACATTTTCCAGTTTTAATATCCCAAATTTTAATCGTATCGTCACGACTTCCGCTTATAATCTTATTTTCGTCAAACTGAACACAATATATGCTTTCACTGTGCCCAGGTAATTCCCGAATCGAATAAATACCCTTACGCCAATGATTCTCAATTACTGATCTTTGATGATATAAGTGTTTCCAATTAATTATGGGTTGCCCCGATTCATTTTGGTGAATGGGAAGATTATATGGAATATAAGTAGACGGTATGTTTATGGATTGTGGGGAAATTTTTGATTTTGAAAATGATGAATCGCCTGTAGATGAATCATCCAAAATTGGTGCAGAAACAGTTGACAAGGATGTCGACGGAATGGCTGAGGGTATATTTATACTACTCTGACTAAAAGTTGTTCTTAAATGTGGTAATACACCATTACATACATCTAAATTCAATGATGATTCTTGTCGCTGAGCACTACTTTCATCGTTCGCTTTTGAAAATGAACTTGCCGGATATGTTGAAGGATACCGTAAATCTAAAAATATTAAAAGAAGGTTAACTACTCGATCAATTACGATTTATATCTTACTTACGTAAATGTCTTTTCCTTTAGGAAGTCGTCTGCAAATATAATAACTCACTTTCATTTTTATATTGCGAATTTAAGTCATCTTGATCACATACAATATGATCGTCATGACCATCATCCAATTCATAATCATCATCAGCTTCAATAAATTGTTGAACAGATATTGATTGATCAGAATTTTTTTCTTGATTAAATAGTGAATTTGAATTTTCACTCGTAGTTGGTGTCGGTAATTGATAACTTGATGTGTACAATTCAATTAATTTTGTATTTACAGTCCAACCATTTCTAAAGAATAAGTTTCTCCATAAAGATCCATCAGAACTAACTTTTCTCCATTGTTTAGATACACGTGCAGCTCGTCCAAGAGTTCGTGCATCCAGGAAGGATAGAATATGAATTGCCAATTCATAAGGCAATAACTATTTTTTTTTTTTTTTAAAAAAAAAAAAAAAATAAACAAAAAAAAAGATCCGATAGAACACAATTGGATCTTTTTATTCTTATGGAATTTTAAATGTAAAAGATGAAAAATTTAAAAAAAACATACGGCTAAAAAGTCTCGATGAAACAAAGGAGATAAACGACCGTGTAATTTTGCAATTTTTGGAGTTGGGAGCGTCAAAAGAAGCAGAAATGCAAATTCTAGGTTTTATATATATAAATAAGATTAGGGTTAAAATTGTTTCAAATAATTTATCAATCAAGCCATAAAAGTCTTTATGATAATAATAATAATTATTATTATAATAATAATCATTATAGTAATAATTTTTTCGATATTTTTTTCTTCCTGAAGCAGGCGCATTCAATACAGAGATCAATAGACAAAAGCTCAAGATCTATAGCTTTCTTGATTAGCAGAAGAGTAAGAAAAATCAACACAATTAAAAGAAAATCAAAATCTTACCAGCTCTTTGTTCTTCACTTAGCGAAGTTATCCAAGAAGGAATCTCAATTTCATGTTTTACTTCTTCATAACCATCGTTGTATCCTTCATCGGTAGGTGATTCTAAAGGAGTAGTAATACTTCCTTCAGTAACGTTTTCCGAATTACAAATTGGGTGTTTTTCAATACGCATTTGTAAAATTATGAATAGAAATCAAAAAAAGTTGGGAGGTTTATATGCATGATCGAATTGAAAATTACTATAAATGGCAATTTAATGTTGTTGAAACTAAACAATGTCCTTTTTGTATCGAAATTGTTACTATGTTAATCATTACTAAAAAAGATTTTTGAATATTCCATTTTTGTAACGACTTTATACTATTTATTATATTGAATCAATTAAATTTAATTCATTTATAAATTTAAATATATAAATATAAATATTATAGATGTTTTTCTAAGTTATTTCTTAAGGTTTTAATTTTAATATATTTATAAGATTATTTTTTATTAAAAAGATTATATTTATTATTTATTTTTAATAATAATTATTAATAAACTTAAATTACCTTTAATATAATAAATAAATATATAAAAAATTATTAATTTAATTAATATTTGGAAGACAGTTAGTAAAAAAAGGAGGAAATCCAAAATTTAAACTAATTTTAATTGTTAAGCAAATTTTGTATATATGACTAAGATCAGCCAAATGAATTAATAATAAAAATTTTTAAAAATTGAATTTTTCTTTTTTTACTAATTGTCTTACATTGTTTAAAATTTGTTATTAATATTAATAGAAAATAAAAATGATAACAAATCTAATCTTTATTAAATATTAATAAACTTATAATATATAAAAAAAATTTTTATTGTAAAAATAAAAAATAAAATATATAAGTTAATTTATAAAACAAAAAATAATAATATAAATTATAAATAAAAAGTAATATTAAAAATCTTAATTATAAATATTAATATTCAATTAAATTTTGCCAGTATGCCAACATTTTGTAACCAAGTTTTTGATTAGTATTAAAATGTTTTTTCAAATATATCAATTCCAAAAAAATTACTACCAGTTTTTAGGATAAAGTTATTATAGCTCTTTAAATAGGATTAAATACAGATTAATCAAAAGTATAAGTTTATATAGTTAGATAGTAAAGATCTAATTTGTTAAATACATACTAATACTAATATATATTTTTGAGATATTAGAATTTTCATCTAATTCTTTATTTACTAATATTACTTAAAATGTTTTACCATATTTTTCAACATTTTTTTACTATAATATTGTTTATTTTCAGATAAGTATTATTTTTAATATTAAAATTTTAATTAATAATATCTCATGGTCTAGTAATTACAGAATAATAAAATTTAGTTCATTAGATTTATCTTTATGAGTTAAATCAAATGGTATAAATTTAATAACTTAGGATAGATATTAGCTAAGATATTATCAAATATTGCTTATTTTCAAATATTAATTAATTTTAGAGTTGCTTATTTTTAGGATTACTTATTTTAGATAAATTTAGTAATAATATTATTTTTCTTTATATTTTCTTATTGGTATAATATTATATAATATTAACTAAATTTGCATATGTGTTAATGAATTTATGATAATATAACATTTGTTTAAACATAAATTATAAGTTTTCCTGCTTTTATTATTTATCAACAATTATTTTAATTCATATAAATAATATTCAAATTAGTGATATCAGATTCAGTTGTTAAATAATGTTGAAAATTATTTATACATATTGAATTAAATCCAAGTTTATGCATTAATTTATATAAATTAATTTAAAAACTCTAATTGTTTTTTTTTGTAATTTTAGATCAACTTCAAATCAATAAAACTAATAAATTCAAGTCAGTAATAATCAATAAAAGTAAATTTAGAATGTGAATTTAGTTGAAATTGTTTAATTAAAGCTTATAATTTCATTATCATTATTTAATTTACTAAAAGTTTTATAATCTTTCTTCTAAATGATTTTTTAACAAAAATTATAGGTAGAATTTTCTATTTTTGAAATATTATTTATTTTTTTTAAAAAAAATATATATATAAAATTATTCAATATTAAAAGCTATCTCTTAGACCAGTAATGTGCATTTGGAAGATTGGAAGCATCTTTGAAAACACCTTTGGAAGGTTTAAAAGCATAAATTTACTAATAAAATCATTTGGATTAGAAGCTTTCAATCAATTTTTTTACTATTGGAAGCATAAAATGCACATCACTGCCTTAGACTATCTAGCAGACAAATTTGCTTATAAAATTAAAAGAAAGTATTAATTTCTTTATAAAATATTAAATATTAATATTTAGTAATATCATTATTATATAAAAAATATAGTTTAATATATATTTATCATTTTATTAACAAATATTTAAATAATTTAATTTTAAAATTAAGTTTCAAAATTTATTTTAATAATTTTTAAATTTATATGTTTATATACTAATTAAATCACTTTATCATTAATTAAATTCATAAAATTTCTTAATAAATTATAAAAATTATAATAATAAAAGTTTTTCTTTATAAGTAATTTTATAATATTCTAT